TGGGCCCAGAGGTTAACAGTAGATGTCTTCCTTAAAATCATTCTTCACTTCTGTTTTCAAGGCTCAATGAACCTGGACCTCATAATTCTGCTGCCCCAGCTGGCCAGAAAGCCCCTGGGACCCAGGTGTCTCTGCCTTCCTGGACTGTGGGAGTACAAGCCCTATACTTGGCATTTATGTGGGCACTAAGGATCGCAGTCTATCTCTTCATGCTTGCTCTAAAAACATTTTACTAACCAAGCCACTCCTTAGCTCCTAAACCAGATATTTTATGAAGTGTTTTGGTGAGCAACCTTCTTATAAGTTTAATACTGGGCTAAAGTCCATCAGTGGCATTTCCTTTGTCTCATCACTTTTTCCTTTAGAATCAGTCTCTGGGCAACCAGAGAGGAAGAGAGCCTTGGGCAGACTCTACATTCTTCTGCTTCTCTTTTTGCCAGGCTCCTACTATGTGGTCATAGGTGGCCTAGAACTCACTATGTAGACCAGGCTGGCCTCAAACTCACAGAGATCCTTTTGTCCCTGCCTCCCAAATGTTGAGGTTAAAGGCATATGAAAATATTTTTAAATTTACTCATACCAAAACCTAAGATATTTATTTGTACTTTTTATTGGAAGATAGCAAGTCACTTGAACATCTATTCCATTGTTTTCTTTAGAGATTTCCAGTTTCTCTCAGAACTCTGAACGTGAGTGACAAAACGCTGCTCCTCTTCCATCTTGTTATGAGGCAGAATGAAAGGTATCAAGCCAGTGCATTTCTAGTGGACATCTCAGTCTCAGCACATAAGCTCCAAGCCAAATGCCCAACCAGTCTTTTCAGCACTAATGGTTGACACGACCACCTTCCAGGTACTCTGATGCAAACCTTGGAGCAAATTCTACGTTGTTTGGATCCTCTTCATCCTGGTTTACCCTCCAAGCATTTTTCTCTACTCTACTATTTTTCCTGTAGCTTTTTTTCATTTTCTGCTATACCATACGTTCTGCTTGCTTATGAGGTCTATTTTCTGGTGTCTGTCTCTCAAAATAAGAGTGTAGGATTGGCAAAGACACAAAGGTCAAGTGTCTAAAATAATTTTCAAGGGGAAAATTGTGAATAAATGATGATATAAGGTATGGAAAAGTTCTAAGAGATGCCAAGTTTGGTATTTTTATTGTATAGACTTAGGTAGAGTTCTCAATGTCAAAGGACCTCTTGCCGATGATCCAGTCTAGTCCAGTCTAGACTAGTCCCAGATTTACTTCAATTTACCATTTCAAGTAAGAGTGAGCTGGTTACATTGATTTCTAGAGACAGCTTGCCAGTGAAAAAAATTGAAAGGACTAGAAAAATGCTCACTAGTCTTAATTTATATCTACTAGTCTTGGTCTTGGATATGAAATACTTGGAAAACTGGTGTATGTAGGAAGGACAATCACTATACTCTTAAGACATATCTCAGTGATATCTCCTGTCATTTTTCTAATTCAATATGACCATTTTATTTAGAATTTTTAGCTCTGAGAAAACCCTCAGAAAATATGGATAATTAAATTCTTTCCACTTAGATTCAAACAACACAACTATAAAAATTAAGATTAGATACTTTTGAATTTATGTCTTCTACAAGCCAGACAATTTTACTGGTTTTCTTTAAAATTTTGCTTAAAACACAGGGAAAAAGTATGAAGACAAGTCACAAGATATTTATTTTTCTTTTCAGAATACTAAGACAATAGTCTTAATGTATACATTTTTTAGATAATTTGGGGCACTTATTAGTTGAATTTTTATGTGAACAACAGTTCACCACATTTTTTTTTAAAGAACACTGTTTTTTTTTTTTTTTTTTTTT